AGGCTCCCCCCCATGCCCTGTACCTGACAGACCCCTGCTGAGGGAGCTGGAGGAGCTGGAAGCTCCCGAAGTGAGCAGCTGATGCCGTTAATGTAGACATGGAGTTTCTCCTTCCGCTGCGGTCGTGTGCCCACCGCCAGCAGCAACGAACCAGCTCTTGGTTCAGCCTGGGGATGCACTTCAGCTTTTGCAAGCAATAAACCTGAAATAATTGCAGTGCTGATGACTTCTGGCTAAAGAGTAAAACTCTGGGCTTGTCATTATGGCTGAAGAAGCAGCAGATGCTCCTGTGCTTATTGAGAGCCTCCAGCTCCCGGCCCTTCCTGCCTGTGGCACCACAGGCTGATCCCCAGAATCCTGTAGGACCCCTGGGCTTCTGGGTTCTCCTTTGTTTAAAGTGCTTTCTATTGTTTCAGAGCAAGGGGTCCTTCTGCCCGGCCCCAAGGCAGTACCCGGTGGCCCTTCCTTCCCTTCCCAGTGGCCTTCAGAGAGGGAGGAGGCTCCTGTGGCCAGCGGCTGTCTGAACCCCTGGATGAGCATGGGTGTGGGGGATCCAAATGTGTCTGGCTGCTTTTTGCCTTGACAACAGGCCGCAGTAAAGGCCAGGCAGCTGTGGGGGATCCACTGTGTCCCCTCCTGTTATTCAGTCCTTCTCTTTCTGTGCAGGTTTGTTTCTGGAGTGCAGAGATGATGCTGAGGAAAGGAGCCGCTTAACCTCCACAATGCCCTTTTCTGACTTTGTCTTAGCACTGAAGGACAACCCGTACTTCGGGGCTGGATTTGGCCTGGTTGGGGTGGGCACAGCCCTGGCATTAGCCCGGAAAGGAGCCCAGTTTGGGCTGGTGGCTTTCAGGCGCCATTATATGATCACCTTGGAGGTGCCCAGTAAGGATAAGAGCTACCACTGGCTGCTGAACTGGATCTCCCACCACGCCAAGCACACGCAGCACCTCAGTGTCGAGACGTCATACCTGCAGCATGAAAGCGGGCGCATCAGCACCAAGTTCGACTTTATCCCCAGCCCTGGGAACCATTTCATCTGGTAAGGGAGGGCAGGGGAAAGCAGTTTGGGGACTGATCCTCGTTTTAGTAAGGGAACTCCAGCTTGGGGGGCTTGTGGAGGCAGCAGAGAGGATCCTGCCTCCTCCTTGGGTCTGGATTAGGGCAGGAGATTGAGAGTGGCGAGAGGAGTCTGTATGCACTGGTGTGATGTGATTTTTTTACCTGAGTGTTATTCTTGATGCATGACCTGGGCTGGGCTCAGCTGAGTGGTGCTGGACCACTGTCCCCCAAACCCGTCCTCCCGCCCCAGGTATCGCAGGAAGTGGATTCGCATTGAGCGCAACCGGGAGAAGCAGATGATCGACCTGCACACGGGGACCCCCTGGGAGTCCGTCACCTTCACTGCGCTGGGCACCAACCGGGAGATCTTCTTCAGTATCCTCCGGGAAGGTCTGTAGGGGAGCTGCATGGGTTCCTGTTGGGAACAGCCTGCTCCCTGGAGGCATCCAGGGCTTCAGAGGGAACCTTTTCCCTGCCAGCCATCCCCTCTGCCTCTCTCTGCAGCCCGGGAGCTGGCGCTGCAGCAGCAGGAGGGGAGGACGATCATGTACACAGCCATGGGAGTGGCGGGCGG